TGGTGTTCAAGTGCCTTGTGAAGATCTATGAGTTAGCAGATAAGAAAGAGAAGCAGAGAATTTTGGCTAGCATGTCAAGAACTCGAGATTCCTTGCTGCAGGCCAGTAATACTAGTAGTTTGTTTTTTCCACTTGTTCAATGTCTTCTACAGCCAAGTTTGCTGTTTGTTGAAACTGAATCTACTTTTAACCACACTTCAGTGTAATTAATATAAATGCCAGTAAGTGCAGTTGCTTTTTTGTTATGTGCTCCTTCCACTTTATTATGGATTGATTTGTTTAGTTTATGGGGACCATAAAGCAAATATGATACTTCGATTTCATTTACAAGCATGTGGTTTTGTTTTATATATGGGCACTATGGGTAGAGGTTTCTCAGCGTAGTACAACAGCCTTCTCAAGGAGCTGCATTAGGCCAGGATTAAAGTTATTTCTGTATTCTAGTACCATAATGACACTGGGAGAGTTACGGTAGGGTATGGCTGTTTTAGTCATCTCTATAGTGTTCTGTCAACCTAAGCAGTACTGTAAGACTTGGTTTATAAACTATTTGTATGTTTTGAAATACTTCTGATTTGTCCACTGAAGTTTGGTTGAAGACAATAATAGCTAAAAGCTACAAAAAGTAGTTTTGCAGGCACTTTTCAGACTTGCTGAAATGTATGTCTTTGTGTAATGAGTCTTATTTCAGTGCAGCTTTTGATGAAAAAACTGACTAGAAATGTCAAGACCTTTTTGTAGTCTGTGCTCTGTTCCATTACTGGAAGCAAGGGATATGTGGGTAGGACATGTGAGTCCAATTTTAAGACAGTTTTACCAGATGTAGTTAAAAGTGCATAGATGTAATAACCTTACCTACGTGAGATACAGAATGTTTTTAAAGTATGTGGAACACAAGCAATCTTTTCAATATGCAAAATCTTAATTTGCTCTCCTTGAGAGCTGGGATAGTCTCATTATGCAAATCACTCTACTGCTCTTGCACATAACTGAGACTTGGACTTTTTATTTTTGTTCACTGGTCTCAGCTTACTGGTAGCATTTTGAAATTACTTACAAACAGTTAGGAATTAATTACGTTAGAGGTTCTCTTTGTATTGATACTTTTGATAGACATATATTTTTATTCTTTTTTTCTTTCCATATAGAATTGTAGAGACTTTACTAAAAGATTATTCTCCATTTTTTTCATTTTCAGATTTTCATCTCTAGAGCCCAATTTTATACTAAGTGCAACTTTACAGTAAAGAAAAAAAAATTTTGGTGTAGAATGCTAATGCGTTATAAGATCTCAACTATGAGTCAGTGATAAAAGATGGCTCAAAACTATTGCTACCAGTCTGAGTAATCTGAGGGGAAAAACATTTCTGGATAACCTTGATTGATAAAAGCTTAATGTCTGACTAGCCACAGATTTATAACATGTAGTTCAGAGGGCAGATGAAGTTGTAGCAGGTGAAATCATGATGCCAGGCCATCAGAAGTTTGAAATAAATTAGTTTAAAAAGAGAAATGGAAGTGTCTGCATTTATGTGCATGCAGTTAGTTGTTCTTGGAGAAGCACATTGTTCTCAGGAGTATGCAGTGTTGTTTCCAGGCTTTGCAGGAACTGTGAGTGTTTGCAAGCTGCAAATAGGGGGACCACAGGCAAGATGTGTGGGAGGTAGTTATCTGATTAATTTTTGTGTGGGTGTGTGCAGCATGGCACCTGTGCTGGAATTTAATCTACCATTGCATCTGACAGTGGTTCAGTTAACATTCTTGCTCCTTCTGTTAATAATGCTGTGACCTATGCTTAATGTCTTTCCTCCTTTTGCTACCTGTGTCTCCTGATCAAAGAGCTTGGGGTTGAGCTGGTGCCGCTACAAACAACTGGAAAGCTGGTGCAGGACCCTGTGGGTTTCCTTAACCCTGTTGCCAAATTGATCATCTTTTGATGATCGGAGTGGTTCTGGTTCCTGATTTACAAGCTGACAAATGATCAAAGTTTAATTTATGTAGGGCTGAAAAATCCCTGGTCTGAAATCAGTCTGAGTCAGTCTAAGTCATTTTATGTGCCAAATCTGGCCTTTGGTTCCTTTCTAATACTCCATTAAGTATATGGTTAGGCTGCCTGGCCTACAAAACATTTTGGCTACCATTTTTTTTTGTTGAGATAGCTTATCCTAACCTTCTGTTTTGTATGACATTATGCTTGATTTTGGTAATTCTGATCAGGTTTGATTACACATTGTTTATCTTCAGACTTGGTAAGTTATTTTGGGATGGCATTTGAGATTGAAGTGGTAGGATATGGAAGACCACGTCCTTCTTGCTTTATTGGTCATCTGAGTTGCAGGAATTTAAGTTACAGTTTCTGAGTTTGTCTGTCTGTTTAAGAGAGAATGAAGTTTATGCTTGTGCCCTGTACTAGCATGTGCATTTAAAGTAGGTTTATTTGTAAATTAGCAAATAAGTCTGAGTTGTGATCTTTATTGTAGAGATTGAGTAATTTATACATCAATTAAAAAAAGGAAATGTTAAGGCTCAGGAGTTTCATTTGCACAACAGGATTAGAAAAATTATAGACGTTTACTTAGAAATGTTGCTGTGAACATATAGATCCAATGACAGAAGGTCTTATTATCTGTGCTCACGAGTATCCAGTAGATAAAATGCACTCCATCTTCTTGCTGTGACAACACTGGTTTTGCCTGCCAGACTGTTTTATTCTACACACAGGGGAAAATCTAACTAAAGGGAGAAAATTGAATTTGGAAAAGACTTAATATGCCATCTTGTTTTTTCCCTTGCTAAATGCGGGATTAGTCGTAATTGCATGTCATGGTTATGCCTTATATAAATGAAAGAATTGCTCTTTATTTCTTAAAGTGATTACTTGATTTAAGAATACTCTAGTAGCATAAGATGACCCAGGCCATTTGCAATATAGAGTTTCAGTCTGATAGTCAAATATACACTGATTATTTAGATATGTTTGTCTTAATAAAATTATAAGCATAGGAGCAGTGGATTTAGCCTGTTTCTTTTTGTCATTATTGTGGGGTTTTTTTATTGTTTGTCTTCTTCCTTTGTATCTGTTAGATTCTGATTCTGACAGGCATCTGTCTCCGAATTTTTGCTGGATCAGGAATTTGACTGGCATTGTGGGAAGTGGGAAGGAAAAACATGGCAAATGGGAAGGTATATTCCAGTTGGGTGCTAGAACTCATCTGAAAGTTTTCTCCCTCAATAACACCATATAAAGACAGATCAGCATTATGGATTTCCATCAATAAGAACATCACTAGAACAGAAACAGTGCTGCTGCTAGGCTGTTGCAGTTGGTTGGCAGCATGATTAGCTCTAAAAGGAGAAATGTCATTATTGTGGCAGCAGGGGCTGGCAGGGTGCCTCTTGGGAATGGAAGAGCTAGGACAGAAGCTGATTACCAGATGGTGATTTCAGTAGGACTAGGTGAAGCAGGAAATAGCTGGAAATGGGAGAAGCTTCATTTAGCAAGCAGGTTGAAGTGATGATTTTATTCTGATGTGAGGACAGATCCAGGTTGGAGTAGAGAGGGCAGCAGCGGTTCCCTGCTTAGGCAGAGGCATCATATTAGATGATCTGGAGAGGTCCTTCCCATCCTCAACGCTCTGAGGTTTGTGTGGAGGAGTTTGCAGATAGATTTGTGAGCACGTGTGCAAGGTGCTTGCAGTCCTGCTCCTTCCCTGTTCTTGATTTCCCCAAACTGCTCTGCCCACCATTGTTATTTGCTTTCATGGCTTTGCTGAACTTTCTAGTTTCCAAGCTCTGTCCAACAGAGATGTCCAGAGGGAGCAGCAAGAAGAAAATCACTGGCTGTAAGCACATTATCAGTTGCTCTGATCTACCACAGCCCTTCATTTGAGTATTTTCCTTCCTTTTTCCTTATAAAAGTGTTAGATGTCACCGGGAATTTGTGTGGATATCTAGGTAAGAAGGAGCATGATGGCACTTGACACTAAGAAAGCTTCTAATCTTGATTCTGATTTCAGCTACAATAATGTAAATCTAGACTTTCTTAGACTGCTTTTGGCTGACATCTGTTTAACTATTACCATTTACCTGGTCGTAGTTTAAGAATGAATGTTTTAACGTTGGAATTCATCCTTTGAAGTGAAGGAAGTTAGCTAGTGTTGAGCATTAATCCTTGCATAATGAAGGCATTCTCTCAAGCTGCTTTAGGTTTTAACTAGAGCCAAAGCGTATAAGACCTGAGGCTGTAACTTCAAGGCACGAATTTGTCATTAAATGTTTTGTACTCAACAGATACCCTTGCAGAAAGAAAATCTGCTTTATGAAAAAGTTTCTGTTATTTCTTTCCTACGTTTCCTAGATGCAGTGGCAAAAAATATTCCTAAGTGCATAGAACTACCTTATTTCCCACTCTGTGTCATTCATACCCAAAACAGAGACTTCAAGGCAAAATGTTTACTTATAAGAAGATGACCAGGAAAGGTCCCATACAGGAACTTACTGCTTAGCTTTCTTTTTATGATTCCCTCCTGTGGGATCAACCCTGCAGACTATGCTTCTTAGGTTCATATGCTAGATCTCATTCTGCAAATTTTCATGTGAACTTCCCTTATTGCTTTGTTTACTTTTACCAATGCTGCTGTGGTTTCCTGAGTAAGCTGTAGCTGGTTAATTGGGAAAAACCTCATATTTTCTAATGTATTGAAGTTTTTACTACAGTATGTTGGCTAAAACTGGAGAATAGTTTTGAACTTGTTCTCCAAGTAAAGTGTACATTAACAAAAATATAATAGTTATTTTTAATTACATGTTCTTGTTGCTGTAGACTAGCCTCTCCCACACTTTTAGTGACTGTCAAATATCATTGAAAGCTTAAAAGATCGTCACTGTAATGTTGTGGGCTTTGTTTAGAATGCTTAACATCTCTCAGGAGCTTCTGAAATGTGGTATTTTTCTTTTGTGTCTTCCTTTGGTTTTAATTCTTAAATGATCCCTCTTTTCAGATTTCAAATTATAATCTATTTCCTGATGCATTGCTGAACGCCCCGTGAGCCATGTCAGAAGTACTTCCAGGTCAGATGTCCTTTAAAAGATTCTGCTATGCAAATATGTGAAACTTTCCTCTTATTTTTCTTCTTCTTTCCAGGCCCATATTTCGGTTTCATTTCTCACTTATACACGAAAAAGAGCAAGCACTTTCTTTTCTTCTTAACAATGCCTTCTTGAATAAATTCTCTCTTCAGCTTTTTAAAAACTTCCTGTAGACAATACAATGCAAAAAAGTCATTAAACGGTAAACACAACAAAATTGAAAAACATCAATAAAAGCTATTGAGGTAATGGCATTATTTCTATTATTATGATGCTTAGAAAATTGGCACTAGTCTGTGTTAAACACATTATAATGGTAAAAATATATTAATCTATATCTCTAGGTAAGTTTCTAAATATTAGAAGTATGCAGTTGAGACTGCGATTTCTTCTAAAACATTAACAAGTTAAAACTCTTAATGAATTGCTATGACAGATCTTCTACCTAACTGCTGTCTTGAAGCACCAACAATTTAATAATGTTATTATTCCCAGTAATGACAATGTCCTAATTACTGTTAGTTTTTCATCCGAGTCCGATATTTTGTAGTATAATACCCTACTTTTACTCACTCAGAACTTACAGATGTTTACCCACTGCGGTTGAGATATATGTATCAACACAGTGATTCCTGGCCTGGTTGTCTGTTTGTGTTTTCTTTTCAGCAGAAGGCAGAGGAGCTGAAAATGTGGTGCCCTGTGCCAGTAGCATTGTCCTTGCTGGTGGCCAGGCAGCACAAAGAGCTACCTGAGAGGGGCTGTGGAGTCTGCCTATGGCAGTCCTGGGTGCAGGAGCCCTGGAACATGGTGTTGGCTAGCTGGTGAGAGGCACAGCACCAGACTGAGTTAGGTACCCTGAGCAAAGGAGGCAGGGTCAAGTGGGAGAGACAAAATAAAAGATTTGGGAAGTCAGTGATTTAGAATTTCAGGCTTGAAATGGCAGGTATGTGAAGAATTTGCATTTTCTTGACGTTTTTAATTAGAAAGTTGGGATGTGCTTCCTCAGGGAAAAGTGATGTGTTTTGAGCATCATTATGTCCTGTATAGAGGAGGAGGGACAGAATATTGCTCTTCTTCCTTACACTGTTCTACTATGCAGTTTAGGTTTTCTTCAATGCGCTTAAGTGTTTCCTTGCACTCCAACATTTTCCAGCACTTTAGTTAGTCCTAGTCTGGTAGCAACTTCTACCCTTGAGATGCAAGACCTGCCCTTTCCCATCTGTATTTCTTGTTCTCTTTTTACCTCTTTTTCTCTTTCCACCCCTCTTTTTCTCACCTCTGTGTCTCCTTCCACGAGCAGAGGGAAGCTGGCTCCGTGCATTCCAGAGGCTGGCTGGCATACAGGGTGACAGCCAGCGAGCAGGCTCTTGGCCCTTGAGAGAACAGCCTGTTCCACTCTGTGCATGCCTTGTGCTGCTGTTTGCATGTTCATTGATCGTCTGATCATGATGATTTGGTCAATGGATCACATGAAATGGGGTCAGGAGAGGAGATAGTGTCTAGTAAGAGATTCATTTTGACATTTTTGTTTATGGTCATACACCAACCCAACTTAACATCCAACTCACAAACACTGTATGGGTTGCAAAGACTCCTTAGGTCTTTGTCTCAGTCATTGGTCAATGTGCCAATGTTCATTGTAAGTCAATGGAGTACCTTTATCAAGCAGATTAATAAAACATAATACATTTTGTCGCAATGTTTCTAGGGGCTTATTCTTAGCACTGTTTTTGATCAGTAAAATGATAACAGCAGGGGACTGTCTAAAGATAAGCTGGCAGGCAAATACTTAAGCTTTATCTAGGAAGATTATTTTTTAAGAAATTTATTTAGTCATAAAAATAGTGGCAAACATTGCATGAAGTATTCACTTGTAACAAAGGAGAAGAATAAAATTCAGTCTTGTTCCATATTGTGGCAGTTGTATTTATTGGTGAAAAATGTAAATGCTTGTTTTGATTTGCTGAAGCATAAAGTAAAATATAATCTAGTGAAATCCCTAGATACTGTGCAATTCCATAAGTTCTAAAGGTCAAGTGGTTGGTGGAAATCATCCCGTCCTATTACTTTATTCTTTTATGTGACTTTCACATTGTCAGACTTTTAACTGATTCAGAAAAAATCCAAAGGAGCCAGTCTGTATACAGAGGTCATTTCATGTAAAACATGTTCTTTGGTAACATTATATATGATCAGATGTGACCTTGCTTGCATTAGACCTGGTTGGTTTTAGGTAAGATTCAGAGAGTTATGTGTAAATGATGTGTTTGTCTGAGAAGTTGTTCATTTGTCATTTATAAAGTTCCTTTGAATTTTGTGGTAGTTGTATTTCTAAGTCTCTTGTGTCTAAAGTTGACATTGTCCATAGGATGTTCGTAAACTGTTACCTAAGCTGATGGCTTTTGCACAGTGTGCTTGGGGTGATCTGATTTCTGAAGAATTTGCTATTGGTTTAAACTGACTGACCAGGACTTGAGAAATGGACAAACATGAAAAATTGTAAAATTTAATTTAAATTCTGTTTTTAACAAGTTTTAGAAGTTGTTCTAGTTGGGTGATTCAGGGAACAAAGGATGTTATTAATTGATCTGCTTGGTTTTAAATGAACCAGAGTGATGTTTGAAAGTGAGCAGCTTTGACAGCACATCAAAAAAGAGGGAATGCTAGCAACTGTGCCTGCATTTAGGTAATGTTGTGAAGTCCTCCTTTTCACTCTGTTTATGTATATGTTCTTTTAAAACCCATATATTTAGTCTCTTGTAAATCTGTAAAGCAGTTGGTTCTGTCATGTATCAGATATACAAAGATGCAGCACAACTCGGCTGGAATGATCTGACTAGCTCAAATTACAGCTTTTCCTTCCTGGATAAGCCTCAGATATGTTTTTATGTGCAACATAAGCAGTCAGTGATATCTGAGAATTAGGAACAACAGAAAGAGTGTTTCATGTTGTCACAGATAGGAGTGATTTATTAATTGGCCTCTAATTTGGTTGCCAGAAATCAAACAACAGTGATTGCTACTGTATTTAAATTGAGATGTTCAGGGAGTACTCGTACAGATTAGTGGAAGCCAGAAATAGACAGTACAAGAACAAATTATAATTTAAAACAATGTATGTATTTTGATCATTTTTAATAGTCTAAAAATCTGTTCCCTGAATAAACTTAGTATTATTTAATGATGGAGTTAATGTACTCTGCCCTAGGATGAATGCTTTATCCTTAAGCTTGAACTTCATGAGATGTGGAAATGGTGAGCCATCTCTGGAGCAGCTCTTTTTTTAAAGTTGATCAAATTACAGAAGGATATTTTGCCCCCCTCCCCCCCCTTGATCTAGAAATCAAATACACCTTTGTGAAATAATCTTCTACTCGTATTCCCTGACCCTTTACTTCCTTCTTCCTCCTCAAAAAAAAAAAAAAAAAAAAAAGGGGAGGGAGGGGAGAGAAAGACAGACAAATAGCAGAGAAAATGCAGGTTTTAAGAGTCAACAACTGACCAGCCAGTCAAACTTAACCATAACAGTACTACTCTAAGATGAAAAAGGAGCAGCATCTGTCTTCAGTCTGCTTAAAATTTCTCAAATTTTCTGCTTCCTAATGATAAGCACTTGAGTTCTTTCTCTCCTCATCAGAGGTAGAGGTGAAATACTAAAATGAAATTATGGTAAGGGTGATATCTGGAGTTCCAGGCATTTACCTGGAAGGCAAAGGGCACCTCTGCTGTCCCAGAGCCTGCCTGCAACAGAATCAGACATGTAAAATCTGCCCTAAAACTGTCTTGTATAGGGTCAAGCTTTCTGCTTTCCTGATGATCTCTCTGTAATTTTTTCTGCCTCTGTTTTTCCTTATTAAATAAGCTAAGCTTTTGTCTGTTCTCTTACCCACTTAGGTTGTGGTAATTTTCTTCCTGTAAAACAGTTATGTAAAGTGCTACATCCCTTTACCAGAAGCCCTAGCAAAATAGTGTATATAATGCATGTGTTTCATGACTGTTTCTTTTGCTTTTCCAGTCGATTCTGGTGTGGACGCGTTGGCAGTGTTTATGGCAAGCGGCAGCACGACGGACGTTGTGAACCGCAACAGCCCCGCCACCCCGCCGAACACCCTTAACCTGCGCTCCTCTCATAATGAACTCCTGAATGCAGAAATTAGGCACACAGAGACCAAGAACAGCACTCCTCCGAAATGCAGGAAAAAATACGCACTGACTAACATTCAGACAGCCATGGGTCTTTCCGATCCAGCAGCTCAGCCCCTTCTGGGGAACAGCTCTGCCAATATAAAGCTGGTGAAGAATGGAGAAAACCAGCTCAGGAAAGCTGCAGAGCAGGGACAGCAGGATCCCAACAAAAACCTCAGTACCACTGCGGGCGTAAGTGTAACTTCTGAGAAGTTTGAAGGCAAAGAGCCGATCCCACAGGATTCCTCTGGCTGTGAAATATTACCTTTGCAGCCAAGGAGGACCAAGAGCTTCCTGAATTACTATGCAGATCTAGAGACATCAGCTAGAGAGCTTGAGCAGGGTTTTGTTGCAATGGAGGATAAGTCTGCACAAAGCAACAGCCAGGCTTCTACTGTTATTGTCAATGGGGAAGTCCTGCCCCGGAAACAAAACAAGCTGCCAAGCCCAGAGGATGGCCAGGTTGCCACAGTGTCATCAAGCCCTGAGACTAAGAAGGATCACCCAAAAACTGGGGCGAAAACAGATTGTGCCCTCCATAGGATTCAAAACCTGGCCCCAAGTGATGAGGACTCCAGCTGGACTACCTTGTCCCAGGATAGTGCCTCACCAAGCTCACCTGATGAAACAGGTACACAAACAAAGGCTCCTTACAGCCACTGTTTTAAAAACACATTGCTTAACTTTTCTCAGCTGGGAGAGAGATGGCTTAGCAATATCAGTGGGGAAGTGATTGCATCAAAATACCAGTGCTGGCCTTGCATGCACCTCCTTGTCTGCTTGAGAATGCTTTGCAGCCTCCTGCTTGATTGGAGAGGCTTTAAGAAAGGCCCCAGCGAGTGCTATAGACAGGATCCTAAAAATATGCTAATTGCACCTCTTACTAGTTTATAAATAATTGCTTTTCACTGAGCAATGTGTACATGTTGTGAGAGGTACATGGTTGTCTGAAGATGCTAAAGTGCCTAAACACAGCAAACAAACTTCTCTGAGCAGTGATTTTTAGGTTGAGCAAAGATTTTTACTTTTCTAATGCACAACTTTGTGAGTGTGCCCACTCCACCCCAGTCATTTGGTGATGCTTTTTTTTAAAAAAGAAAGTCCTTCCACACCTTGAGGCATTTAATTTCTGTGTTTTGTTTTCCATTTGCAGCAGTTCCATACAGTAACTCAAAAGGTGAAGCCATGGCATTTCATATTTTGGATACCTGGGCTTATTTATTCAGTAATGATGACTACTGCCTTGGCTTTTTGCAATACATCTTTACAACATACTTTTAAAACTTAAAGATCTCATTTACTCTAGTTAATGGACTTTGTCACATTTTTTCATATTCAGACCAGTATATAAAGGTACAACTTTGTCAAAATGAGGAGAGGCAATCCAATTCTTAAGGGTGCCATGGGCTAAAGAAGTTCTTCATATATGGTTTGTATTTTAAATGATTTCAGAGATTATATGCTGTTTGAAGGCCACTATGGTCCAGATTCACAGGTGCATTACATGTCAGTCATGCATGATTAAGACAATAGGGATTTTTATTTTAACGTGTAGCATTTCTTAAAAATCAAACCTGGAAATCCCCACTATGTGACATATTATGGATCTTCTGATCTTCTTTTTGATATGTAACAGATCTTTCCTGTTAAGAGAGAAAATTTTTATGAAGTCGTGCAAAATGAAAAACTTTTCAGTTTACTAAAGTTGCTGTTTGAGTATTATTTCTTGGGATACTTGATGTAGTATGTGTGACATCACTATTAGCATTTTCTGGAGAAACTGTCACTAAGAGATATTTAGGTATCTTTAACTCTGAGCTTGTTAGCACCTTCTTTGTACTTGCCTCTGGTTTGGCAATGAGAAACTATGGGTAGAAAATTTATTTTCACTAAAAACTAAATTAGAATAATTCCAAATAATCTAATTAAGGGTATGTCCTAAGATGCTAAGAGTTAGCAGTTTCTTTTTTTAAATAATGTGTTTAAAATTTTCTTCCCACATCTGTATTGCCACTGTATGGTATAGGAGCTCATTCAGCACTCAGGAAGGGGAATTTTTTGAGCTGTTTTGAAATGTTGGCATGTTTACTTAGTCAAGTAATGAAGTGTTACCTGAGATGTGTTTTGTTTGCAGTATGGAAATAAAGGGGAACTTTCCCCTGATGAGTATGGGGGATTTCCTTGTCTTGAAAAAAAAAATTAAAAAATGTCAATTAACAAAGTTTTCAGAGCTCACCACTCTTCTAAAGCAGAAATAATAAAGGGCTTTTTAAAATTCTCCACTTCATTCACCATATTAGCAACAAATGTATTATAAACAGACAGTTATAGAAAAGCAGATGTCCAGATATCTGATTTCTGTTTCTATGAAAAAAGCAGAGTTAAACAGCAAGACCTAGAAAACCTCAAAATTGCCTTTGAAGATCAAACTGGTAGAGGTATTTCTTTCTTATCTCCATGGTCACTATCAGAGAGCACTGAGTATGACACAGGACCTGCCATAGTGGATTGGATTGTTGGTTTTAAGATCCCTATATATATAAGTATTCATGGACTCTTAAAACATCCAGCTGTTGCAACTTGCAATTTACAGACATCTGTGCCTTGGGCTTATTTGCTATCTTCAATTTACCTCCACACTGATAAAATTGTTTCAGTAAGTGTTTATAGTTTCTTTCCAAAATAGACCATCAATTGATACAGAGAGCTAAGAAATCAAATGGGGAGCTGCTGTGGATTCCGGGATGGCTTTTGGACATGATAGAACAGGCTGGTTTCTCAGGCTCTTCTATGGCTCCTTCATGAGGCTGAAAAGGAAGGAAGTGCAAAAAGCAATGCTGCTGGTGTAGAAAGCAGCAGAAGTCACAACTGGTGCAAATATCTCTTTGCCCCCAAATGAGTAAGTTATTTAGTGGCAAATTTTCTAGTTGTTCTCAGGGGCTGTAAACTTTTGCAGTTGAGTAATGTGCTGTCCCTAGGCAAGTTCATGTATCTCCAAGGGTGTTTGAAGAGTATTACAATAAGAGGTGAAATAAAAGCTCAATATATGAACTGAACTTTCTTTTTTGAGGCAGGCTCAAGAACAGTTATTGGCATTGTAATCACATGTGCCTTTTCCGTCTCCCTTTCAAGAGTTGCTTGAGTTACTGTGGTGCCAATCAGCAAGAATTCGCTGCTCATCATACCAGGTCAAAACCAAATAACTTGGGTGTACAGTGAGGGGAAGAATTAAAAATTCTGAAGGAAACCAAATGACACTTGCTGCTTCTCAAAACCCTTTACTACCCTTCTGTCATGCTGGAGACAGAGTAGTAGTTTCCTACAAGCAGAAAATTCATCCAATGCATTTATGTCAGTGGCGGTTGATTGAAAACCCAAGTGATTCCCAAAGGTCCGTATCTAGTCCCTCTGAATCCATGGAGCAGATGTGAGAGCCCATGTTTAGGAGCAGGCGGGAAGAAAAATCCTTGGAAGGAAAGGAATGGTGGTATCTCAGCTGTCGTATGATTGTCTGATCTGGATTTAAACATCCTTTATTGGAGGTATTGCCCCAGCCTGCTCAGGACATCTGATACAGAGAGATGTGGTGCTTTCCCCTGTGGTAGATCTTTCAGGTCTTTTTAATGTAATCTTTAAGTCCATGATGCCCCTGTGTGCCAACATGGGTAAAGGGAAGCCCTCCCAACTGAAGAGTTGTGCAGTGAGCCCTGGTGATGCCTGTCCTAGAGGTCAGTGTTTTTGGGCATGGACAGGGCTCTTCACTGTCACTGCATGTGGGCTAGGAGGACAGTATCATGTGGAATCTTCACAGCCTCAGTGCTCTCCAACCCTTCATTTATGCTCCAGTAATGAATGTTAGCGACCAAAAAGAGAAAGGCATCTAGGAGAAAAATCTGCAGTAGAGTTTGTCATATGACTTCTGTGAAGGGAAGAAATCCCCCAGTCTTGAGAACAGTTAATCCATAAAACTAAGAGTTTAGTCCAGCAGATATATGGAGAATTATTAGTGTTTGATCTAGAAATTGGTTTTTAGCACTTTAGTAATACGCAGAAATACTGTTTTCCTGAGAGTTCTCCTATTGAAAATAATACGTTTCATTTAGGGCTTCTGAATTGTTTTGTGTTTCCTCTTCCCTCTGTTAACACAATTCATTATTCAAATCCTGGAAAACTGAATGTTGTTTTGTGAGGTGTTTTTACTGTTTTGTTTTCATGTGTTTTGGAGTTAGGTAATTCAAAAGCTCTGCAAAATTTACTCTTAATTGATTGCACTGAGGATCTTCCTGAACTCTCCTTAGGGCAGGATACTTGTACATGTGGTTTAATGAAAAGGTGCTTTCAAGAGCCTTGACCCTCTCTCTCAGTGAGGAGACAAGACAACTCAAAGATACAAAACAACTGACTTATTTAAACATGTTAACGTTGCTGAACAGATATGATAGAGTCTGTTAAGAATGGGCACTGAACACCACAAGCACAATACAGTAGAAGAATTGTGTTTTGAGTAAACTCTTCTTTCTTCTCCAAGAATTTTAACTGTATCCACATCTTGACAAGAACTGCATTGACTTCAACTTTCAGGTCATTTTATGAGCACTTTCAGCTATCTAACCTTACTTCTGAGATTTAGTACCTCGAAAAAAGAGTCTGAGGTGATTTGAGAAGCAGAAAAGACCTGTAGTAAGCAAAGCAATGGGGTGTCATCGAGATGTTTAGCACATGCCAAGCCCTAATGTGTTTTCAGGCAGCCGTTCCTAGAGACAGGCAGGCACTTGCCACAAGAGCTGATTGACACCCAGCACTACAGGCAGTCTTCCCCAAACAAGCAGGCTTGCCTCCATTGGCCTCAGGCACTGCATCTCCTCTGGGACCTACTATCTCTATCCAGCTGAATCCGCTGTCATTTCGAGAGTCTTGTGAATAACCAGACACCAGCTCCAGGTGGTTTTAAAACTGCAGATGGACCAGAACTGGTTTTAAATCATGGGGAATGCTTCCTCCATGTCTCTCAAGAAAATTTCCTTAGCCTAGTCTTCAAAGACTTTTTAAAGTTCTCGAAGGAAACACATCTTGTGTTATTATACCACCTACCAATTCGTTCTTTCTCTCTCTCACTCTCTCTCTCTGTATTCAGCAATTTGACCAACATTTATGAATCTGTGTGATGCAAGCAGCAACAAAGCATATGCCTCAGGCCCAAACCTAGGGGAAGATGAGGGTGATGCTAGAGCTGTTTTCTGTTTGTGGCTTGCTATTATTTTTTCTTTTCTGTTTTTTTTTTAAGGAGCTCACCAGAACATCTGTAGAAGGCAGGCACATTTCCTAATCTTTGCATCACCTGAAAAGCTATTTCAGTGGAAAATTATTCCTCCATAGTAAAGTGCAGTGCTCTGTGTAATAATCTCTAATGAACTAGAAATGAGAATTCTATAGGAAATAAAAGGATTTTTTTTGGCCTCAAAACGAAGAAGAAAACTGAAATTTGCTTTTGCTTCCTGTTTTATATTAATTTGAAGAAATCCCCCTCCTTTCAGAGCAGGGAATAGCCCCATAATTAGGAAGGACCCTGAAATGTGAGACACTCAGTGCTAGAGAACCACAGGTTTTTCTTGCTCTGGGACAGTCACCCTC